TCTGCATTGTGGATGGGAATGTAAACTAGTAAATCCACTATGGAAATCAGTATGGAGATGGAAGTATAAAAACTAGAAATTCCATTTGACCCAGCTATTCCTCTTATAGGTATCTTCATGAAAGAGTGAAAGAGATCCTATTACAGAGATAGCTGCACGCCCACAACTATAGCAGCACAATTCAAAACAGGTAAGTCTTGGAATCAGACTAGATGTCCATAAACAGATGAAAGGACAAAGAAGATGTGGTGTTTATACATGATAAGGCACTACTTTGCCATAAAGAAGGATATATGTGCGGTATTTGTAGATAAATGGATGCACTTCAAGACCATAACCTTAAGTGAAATAAATCAGATACACGAGTTAAATTTCTTTTATGTGAAAAACCCAAAATATGAATAAGGACAAATAATTGGAAGTAGCAGGATATTTTTCAACTGGGAAGGGGAACAGGAGATGGAGGGAGAAGGAAAAAAGAAGGGAGAAAGTTTTAAAAGATGGAAACAAATGAAAATTGGAAATAAGAGTTTTTTTCAAAAGGGAAGGGGAACAAGAGTTGGAGGAAGCAAGGAGGGATGGGAGGGGAAGTGAACAAAAAAGAATTAAGAGTGTTATGTTTATGTACAAACTCCCCCAATAAATGTAATAATTATGTACTACAAATATGCACCAATAATTTTCCTTAAGAGGGGAAGGGGTTCATTTGGCTTACAGTTCATAGAGGCTTCAGTCCATAATCAGCCACTTCCAAGGCAGGGATGACAAACAGGCAGGGCAAAGCAGAATCAACATGGCACTCACAAGGCAGCAAAGGTAACAAGAGAGAGTTAACAGTGTCTCCCTGCCCCTGCTATCTTATTCAGACTACTTAGGGCAGGCAGCACTCAAACCCTTAATCCTAGGGCCCTTGAGCCTAGCATTGCCTCATGAATCAATTCCAGCTTCACACACTCTAGATCAACCCCATGACTACATGAGGCTTTGGGGGGACATCTAGATGCAAACCACATCATTCCGCCCCTGGACCCCAAAGACTCATGCACATTCCTTTACACAAAAGGTATTTAGTCCATCTCTAAGAGTTGCCAAAGTCCTAAGAGTTTCAGCATTGCTGAAAAGTCCAAGTCCCAAGTCTCCTCTGAGATTCAAGGCAAACTCTTAACTGCATCCCCCTGTACAAATGAAAAGAAAGTTAAACCCTTCCAATGTTCAATGGCACAAAATAAACATTACCATTCCAAAAGGTGCAGATAGGCGGATACAAAGGAATGGAAACAAAGTAAGTCCAAAATCCAGTAGAAGAAACATTAAATCCCACAGTTCCATTTCCAGGATCTGAGGCAATCTGTGGCAAGTTGTGAACTATGAAAGGCTTGGGTGGCTCTGCCCCTGTGGCACTTCTGGTGGTTGTAGCTCCCATGGCTTCTCTCTTGGGCCGGCTCTGCTCCTTCTTTGAAGTTTTTCTCAGGCAATCCCACACTCCTGGCTTCTCCAAACTTCTGGGGTCTCCAATGCACCTTCAGCTTCTCACACTCACAGCTTTGCACACTGCCCTCTCCTAGGACTTCTTCTGAAATCTTGGTGGAAGCCTCCCTGACCCCACAACTCTTTCGTTCTACATGTGCCTAAAACCAGAACCACATGGATGATGCCAAGGTCTGCTGCTAGCTGGAGCAGTAGTAGTCAGCCTTCACTCTCTTTTGGCTGTAGGGGTCCAATGCTTATGAAAAATCCTGAGGAAAAACGTCCCTAACCCGCCATGTTGGAACAATATCCCTAGGCATCTGGCTTTCTGGAACATGGTGTGGCTGCCGCCATTCAGGAACATTGTCCTCTATGGCTTTCTTCTCAAAGCAAAATCTTTCACCTTTACAACTCTAAGGCTGCAAATAGTGGGATCCTGCTGGTTCCTGCAATGCCCTCAAACCATTTTTTCTGTTCTTCTGTTCTTTCTCAGCAATCAAGATCTGCTCTGCTCTATCTTTACAGTCCACAGCTTTACTGGAGTTTCCTTTCTCACCCAACCCATTTTAAATCATTCTTCTGGGCTCTTTGCTCCTCTCCACATAGATCTGGCTAAAAGCTCCCAACAGTAGCCATGCCACTGCCTCAATATTTGACTGCATTGAAATTTCTTCTGCAAGATTAATTAGTCCACCATCCTTAATCTCAGTCTCAGGCACAGTCTCTGGACATAAGCAAAATGCAGACAAACTTTCTGCTAAACCATACAGTCCTTCTTCCTAGCAGAAACCTTCCCAGCCTGGGCCTTATAAGCTTTCTTTCTTCTGATCCCTGATCAGAACCTGCCATACAGAATAGCCTAAGGCATTCCAGCCCTACTTTTTCGGCTGGTAGCTCTGAATCTTCCAGCAAAATCTCTTGAACTTGAGCAAAATTCAGACAAATTTTTTGTCAAGTCTTAACAAACATCTTCTGGGGTCCAGCAGTCAATGCAGTCCTTCAATGCAGAAACCTCTTGAGCCTGGTCTCTACTGTCTTTCTGGTCTTCTGAGCTCTGACCAAAATCTCGCATACAAAACAACCTAAGGTGTTCCAGAGCTGCTTCGATAGCCAGCATCTCTGGATCTTTCCTAACTCTTCTCCCTTCCATAAGCCAGTTCCAAAGGCTTTGAGCCACACAGCGAGGTAATGTCACAGTAATGATCCCATTCCCTGGTACCAAATTTCTGTGTTAGTTACTTTTCTCTCGTTGCAGAGACAAAACACCAGACACCCAAAGTTAGAGGGGATGGGGTTTATTTGGCTTACAGTTCATAGAGGCTTCAGTCCATAACCAGCCAACTCCAAGGCAGGGACAACAAACAGGCATGGCAGAGCAGGAACAACATAGCACACACAAGGCAGCAGAGGTAACAAGTGACAGTAAAAAATATTTTAAAACCCAGTAAGACAAGTGTATATGCTCCCATTTTACAGATGAAGAGGCTCCTCAAACCTCACAGCTCGTGATTGGCCAAATTCCAGGGATGAGATCCTGATGCCCTCGCTCTGAACCACTACTAGACACTGCCCTCACAAAGCTAGAGACCAGAAAGGAAAGGAAATTGGTTTATGGTGTAGCAGAGGGCTTAAGATGAAACATAAAGCACTTTCTGACAATGAGGGCTGTTTGGTTGCAGTCAGGGTAATTAGGCTCGTTAGCACTTTTCCTCTGAGGGCCTTAACATTTAAGATGAATGAATGCCTCTGCACCTGGGTGGGTTAAGGGACCAACACTCTGTTCCCAGCATGGGGCTGGCCTGTCTGAACCAACTGACAACCTTGCTAGGGACACGAGATTGCCATACGCGAAACCGTTAGATAACAGGAATAGATAGGGCAGGATGTGTGCCCAAGCAAACCGGAAGAAAGCAAAGGTTACAGACAGGCAGATGCTGCTGCAGTTTAAAGCAAAGGCTTTGTGGTCAGGCAATGTCTCTGGCTCCCCACTGGCTCTACTACCTGTGTGACCCTGGGTATGTTAACCTCACTAAGCCTAGGTTTCTTAGTCAAATGAGGCTAAGAATAGAGCCTGCTTTGGAGGGTTGCCATGAAAATTAAATAAGATGATCCATGTAAAGTACTTGGCAGAGAATCTGGGCACAATAAGAATACAATGAACAGTAGCTGCCATAATAATAATCGTTGTTGTTAGAATCCAGAAGCAGGAGAAAGCAGACAGAGGTTTAGGTCTGCAGGTAACTGAGACAGTCTTTCTGAGAAACCTGAATCTTGTCCTGGATCTTGAAGAATTGTTAGAGTTAAATCAGAAGGCGAGAACAGTGGCAGAGATAGTTAGGGTTTGCAGAATGGAGTGAGATTTCAAATTCTCTATCATCTTAAAAGAAAAACCTGGTGGGTTATTTGTTGTTTGTTGTTTTATTTTGTTTTTGTGACAGGGTCTATGTAGCCCAGGCTGTCCTCGAACTCCTGATCCTCCTGCCTCAGCCTCCCAAGTGTTAGGAAAAAAATCTAGTGTGATCTGTGTTTGGAGTACAGAAGGAAGGTGATGGTGGGGCTGGGATCTTCTATCCTCGCTTCCAAACCCCAAACAAAGCCTCAGAGGTATAAAAGAGAAATCAGTTGTCCAAGTCTCTTTTCCCTACTACTTCTAGGTTTCCTTTTTTTTTTTTTTTTTTTTTTTAAACTGGGGATCAAATTTGAGACCTTGAGCTTGAAAGCCAGTCGGCAGAACCACTGAGCTAAATCCCCGATCCTGGGTTTCTTTCTATTGGTGAATGGTCAAGGGGAAGGGTCAGGTGCCTGGGAACCTGGCTGAGGGCAGAGTCTACGCAGAAAGTTAGGAAATGTGGGTGAGGCCCTTAATGAGTGTGTGGGCTGACTCCTGAGGGAAGACCTAGCTTTAAGCCTTCAGTGACGGCTAATGTCGGCAGGAATCCAGTTGAGAGACCCTGGGCATCTCCAATTTTCTATCCGGCAGGCTCAGGGGCCCTTAGGGGTGCAATCCTTGGGCCAATCCAATTATTCTCTGGTACCCTGCCTCAACTCCCCAAGATGAAGATTAAGTCCTCAGTGGCCAGGTTGTTCCCCAGGAGAAATGCTGTTTATTTTAGATCTTCTGCGCCTAATTTCTGTCAAGGACCAACTGTCATCCCCTACATCAAGCACCACACGGGCTCTTGTTAAGGTCAATTCTCTATTCTTTTCCCTAGCCTCTGATTCTGCAAGTTCAGAGACCCAACGATCTGCGTCTTTAACAAGCACCCAGACTATTCCCCTGCTAGACCATTCTTTAGGTAAAAACATATTTGGAAAACCCCCGAGAATCTCTTCAATCCCTTTCAGTCCTGAATTTAGGCCATAGAGTGTAACCCTAAGGGCCCCAAGTAAGGGATGCACTCTACTGACCCTGTAGCCACAGGGCCTTATGCTGGGGATCCTATCAGGGAAGGAGAGTACAGAGCAAAGAAGGGTTCTGCCCACCTGCGGAGACCATCCTAAGGAGGACAGGGAAACCTAGAACGGATGTGAGAATGACCACGGAGAGCAATGGCTCTGAGCATGGCTCTGCGGACTTCTCTCACACGGCACTTGCAGAACAGAACATGGGCATCATCGATATACACCAGGCAACGCCACTGCAGTTTTAAGACAAAGTGAGGCAGCAAGTCAGAGAAGGCAGGAACACACATCTCCCAGTCTTCACCCTGCTTATTGTTGGGGTGCACGTCAGGGTAGGCGAGTCTTCTTAGGGAGGAGGGAGGCCGCGTCCCCAGCTGTGTGGGGGGGGCTAACTGAAAGTCGAGACCCGAGTGTAAAGGAAAGCTTCCGAGGGACTTACAAAGTGTGCCCTCGCCCCGTGACGGTCTCAGGTGTGAAATCTCACACCTGAGGGGTGAGAACCCCGGCGCCACTCCCTGATTTAGGGCAGGAGAAAGGGGAAGTGGGAGAGGAGGTTTGATTTCGCAGACGCTTCTGAGAAATTCGCTGTGTCAGAGAAGCTAAAAGACCAAACCAAACCCCTAAAAATACCCCGCCCGGGCCGCCGAAGGGGCGCAGCGGGGAGGGCGGGACCCCGAGAAAGCCCTTCTTCCGCAAAGCGGCCGAGCTCCGGTTCCCTCTCACCGGCCCCTCCCCCGAGCCGCCGCGGGCCCTTTAAGGGCGGAGAGGTGCGCGGTCTCTTTAAGGCAGGTCCCGGTGGTTTCTGTTTTCTGAAGGAAGTGACGGGGGG